TTTTTCACAGGTATCTTTCCTTATTAAATATCTGGGTGTTCTTCTATTTAAAGGAATATGTGCCATTTTTTTAATTACTTACTTTCCTCTACCCAAAAATTTTTTTAACTTTTAAAATATAAAATACTTTCTCTTAGGGGTAGATATATCATGTTCATAGTTATATTATTTTTTTTGCGACCAAAACAAAATGATCAAGTCTAATCGAGCGCATTTGAGTCTGATCTGGCTCGAATCGGGTCGATTCGAGCTCAAATTGGACTTGATGACGTTCGATTAAATCGATCAAGCGTGCTCGAGCATGATTGAGCCAAAATCGAGGTCAACAAATACAATATAAAATGAGTACATTATAAAAAAAAATACTTTAGAGTTATTTGGATAAGTGTAAAGTATATGCATATGAATATTTTTTTATTTGATTTGAAATAAATGAATGTAGTGTAAAGTTCCAAGATGAGAGTTGATGATGGTGGGCGACAGGAAGTGGTGGTGGGCGACAGTGGTGACGTCGGGAGGGGGTGTTCAGTGGCGGCCGGCTGTGGTGGTTACCAAATATAGCTGGCAATGGGCAGTGGAGGCTGGTGTTGGGTGGTATCCAGTGGTCAGTGGTGTCAAGCGACGGGGTGGCGAAGGTCAAGCGAGCTTGCTTGCAGCGTATATGGTTCTCACTCAAAATTTTATAAATTTATTTTACCTCAAAAATAAATTAAAATGATTTACACTATATTTACTTTACTTCTCTTTGCATTGCTTTTTCTTCCAACAAAATATCAATATTTTCAAAATCACTGCATTTAAAATACTTTAAACTCATTTTACTTCCAACCTTAATAAAAAGATTCACTAAGCTTTTTGGAGCTAGTGTTTTGGTGGGTGGGTGGATGGTGGTTGCATTATTGATATGTTTTAAAAAGTTTCTATTCAGCTTTGCTGAAAGTTTAAGGAAAAAAAAAATTGTTTGTGGGCTGACTTTTTAGGTTTCAAATACTGTTCACACATGCATCCACTTTTCGTTTGTTTAAAAGTAATACTCTTTAATTTGGAGAAGACTTTGTAGCATTAAATGGGAGCAGCTTTTTGAGCGAATTAAATATAAATTTATACACGCACCATAAATGCAAGTTATGAATATAAGACTTCTTGGTTGATAGCCTAAGTTCCAAACCAAGCGATAAAGACGAGCTACATATTGATAACCTTCTAATGCAGCAATCCTTGGTATATATGCAGGGGTGTCAATTTCGGGTCATGGGGTGGGTTTGGGTCAAACCCGAAATGACCCGGCACTATTCGGGTCAACCCGAACCCAACCCGTTTTTACAAACGGGTCGATTTACCGGACCCGAACCTGACCCGCTTTGGGTTTGGGTCAACCTGACCCGACCCGCGGACACGGTAAGGTCGGGATCAGCTTTCAGCGCGGCAGCAGCGTCCGGCGGCAGCGGGCAGCGGTGTCCAGCGGCCACGATCGCGGCGTCCAGCGGCATCGAACATCCGGCGCAGCCAGCGTCCCGGACAGCGTCACGCGAAGCGGCAGCGGTCACGATGCGCGCAGCCGTCAGGCCCGTCACCGCGTCACGGATTGACGCGAACGAAGCGCCGGCGGGCAGCGGTCAGTGGGGGGAAGCCGGACGCGGGCAGGGGCGGGAATTCGAATTTTTTAAATTAAACGGGTTGGCGGTTAACCCGGCAACCCGCCGCGGTAACCCGAACCCGACCCTTTTTTAAACGGGTCAATTTCTAGGAACCCGAACCCGACCCGTTTTTGAAAATCGGTCGGGTTCAACACGAATTTTTTTGGTCGGGTCCGGGTCGGGTTTCGTGTCGTGTCAAATATTGACACCCCTATATATATGTTGGTTGAGAGTTTTGACTATCAACTAAGATGTTATGCTTATGTGATGTATGTGTATATTTGCCTTCATTGATCTAAATGTCTCGAAACGAAAAATCATTCTGAACTCTCATATCTCAAGTAATATTAAAATAATGAATTTTTTTTTTTGAAATAATGGGGTTGATTTGATTTCAGCATATTATTTCTATTTTATAATTTAGTTTGGGTAGAACTTAGATTTCGTTTGAGATGATTTTTTAACTATTTTTTAAAACAGTTTTTCAAGTACAAAAATTTATGATTCAAAAAATTTTTATATTAAAAAATTACTTTAAAAAATAATAAGAAAGTTAGTTCAACCTAATGAGGCTATACTTAAAAGAGTCAAAATGAGTCATATTAAAGTTATTAATACAGGTTCTAGTAAACTTAAAAAGATTAGCTTGGCTAATCTAATCTCTATTAAACTAATAGGTGTTGTTTTCCTCTATATATATTGAGGACTTCAACTTTAATGAATATTTTTTTTTGTTAATGATACTAGTAGTGCTCCTTAAAATCTTGAAAGCTATTCATCTTAAGGCATATAGATGGGAGAAATGGGGATCTAAATCTTTAATTATGTGTGTCGCACATTCTGCCAGCCTTTGGGGTATTCTTCTGATCTGACACATTTTTGTTTTCCTGTTGTGGCAGTGGAACTTAATGATTCAACTCAATTTTGAGATTGTTGCACGGGACACAACTCTCCTTGGCCTATTGGTTGAGAGCTTAGACTTCCAACTAAGAGGTCCAAGGTTCGAGTCTATGTGTATGCGTTGTGTGTGTGAGTTTGCCTTAATTGGCCTAAATGTCCCAAAAAAAAAAAAAAAATTGTTGCACGGGGAATGCTTTCTGCTACACATTTTTGCAGCTTTACTTTGATGCTGGATTTGATTATTAGGTGGCCTGGTCTTATGGGGTTTTGTTGGGTCCCTGGACAATGATGAATGCCCCTTCTAAAACCTTTACCCTTATTTGATTGTTCTTGGCAACTAGGGGGACCTTGGATCTCCAATCAGAATGTAGCTTTATGATGCATCAACTCATATTTTGAGTCCAAATTTTTAGTGGGGTTTAGTTTATTGATGTTTTCTCTTTACTAAGCTTATTTTTTGGTATTTTGTGAGCATTGCTTCTTTTTGATGCAGCTCATAGCATATAAATGTTGCCCTTCCTTGAAGGAAAGGTCTTGGCTCATTGTATCGTATATAACACATCACACAATCAAGGTTTGAAGAATCCAATGATAAGGGAGTCATTCGCAAGAGAAATGTGGCATATTCATTTGGTTTGTAGGATGATGGAAGTCGGCATACTACAGAGGTCAAAGGGACAGTAGTTGGCATGCCACTGAGGTCGGATAGACTGTAGCTTGCGGGCGTCGGTTGTCTAAGGGACCGTAATTAGCAGATGACGATGGTTGAAAGGATCATAGTCAATGGATGACAGAGATCATAGGGACTGTAGTCAATAGACGATGGAGGTTTGAGGAACCGTAGTTGCGAACGACGGAGGTCAGAGAGATTCTATTCGCTGGGCGTCGGTGGTTTCAAAGACCATAGTCGGCAAGCGATGGTAGTTGGAGGGATCGTACTTGGCAGCCTGACGGAGGACCAACAATGATTGGCTGTTGGCAAAGGTTCAACAGCGGTTGGTGGCTGGGTGGAAGTCCGATAGCAGTCGATGGTCGGGGGTGGTCCGATGTTGGTTGGGCGGAAGTTCGAAGGCATTCAACGGGCAGATGGAAGTTTGGACGAGGTCGGCGGTCGAGCAAAGGTCTGACGATGGTCTGGTAGAAGTCTGGCGACGATCGATGGCCAGGTGGAAGATTGGCAGAGGTCGACTGCCGGGTGGTGGTCCGACGATGGTCGGGTGGAAGTCTGGCGGCAGTCAGCAGCTAGGTGGTGGTCCAAGGATGGTCAAGAGAAAATCTGACAACGGTTGGCAGCCTGGTGAAAGTCCAGTAGTGGTCGGTAGTCGGGCGATGGTTCGATGACATTCGGGCGAAAGTCCAAAGGTGGTCGGTGGCTTGGAGGTGGTCTGACGAAGGTCGGATAGAAGCCCGACGACAATCGACAGCCAGGTGCAAGTCTTGCGGAGTTTGGCAGCAAGGCGGTGGTCTAACAATGGTCGGGTGGAAGCCCGGTGACGGTCGGCAACCGAGAGATGGTTCGATGATGATTAAGAGAAAATTTAACAACGGTCGGCGACGAGGTGAAAGCCTGACGGCGATCGGGCGGAAATCCAGCAAAGATTAGTGCCCGAGGAGGTTTGCTGGCGATGGAACTGGGTGGTGGTCCGACGACGGTATGGCTGAAGTCTAGCAGAGGTTGGCGGCCAGGTGGTGATCCAACGATTGTCGGGTGGAAGTTCAGCAACGATCGGCGGCTGAGTGAAAGTCTGACGACCGCCGGGTGGAGGTTTTCCAGGGGTGGAGCTGGAGCTCTCTTCAATCTCGAGCCCCAGCTCTTTCTCATGTAGAGAGTGTGTTCTATTCATAGATTTTCATGAGTGGCACACCCTATAAATATGAAGAAGATTTGGGGTAGGTTTGAAGTGCTCCATCGGATTGCCCGTATTGATTCCCTTGATCATTGAACCTTTTTAAACTGTTCAAGTACCTTAACGATGTCGGAATTCATCAATTTTGGGCTTGTTGGATTCATCTCGCCAAGTCGCTCAATTTGATTATAAGCATGTCATGTTTGAATATCAACTTGTCATCCAAATATGCTTTGAACCATCCAAATGTGGTACATGCCCCAAATTTGGACCCATTTGGACTCGTTTTGGATTGATTTTGGCATTGTTGGGTTTGTGTTTTCGAGATGTTCAATTTGACCATAAGTCTGCTGAAATTGAAATTCATAGGACCCCGAATTTAATTTATAAAATTTTTAATTTGAATATACATCAAGATTCATGCATCACTAATACGGTTTTGGCAACATATCAAATATATAAATAAATAAATAGTTTATGATATATATCATATATGTAAAGCTACGTAAAAAAAAATCACCCCACGACAAGCCGGATCCGTCCCATTGATGATTCGATTGATCGGGCTGGATATTTTTCCGGAAAATAATTAAAGGGTGGATTCGAAATTATTCGAATCTCCAAAAAAATAGCTGCCTGGTTCGAACCTCTAAAATCTGAGTGTATACATCGAGAATTTTCTTCAGGAGGAAGCCTTTATTACCGTTTTTCTCTCAAGGGTTTATCTCCTCCTCCTGCAAGCTCTAAACCCTAACCCTAACCTGCCTTTACCCTGGAATGGCAAGTTCAATCTTATCAGACATGTTTGCCTCTGGCGGCGAAAAGCCGGTCCTCATCCTGGACTTTGGTTCCCAATACACTCACCTCATAACACGCCGGATTCGCCAACTCTCCATCCTCACGGTTTGCATCACAGGCACATCTCCTCTCCATGCAATCGCTGCTTTGAATCCCTGCGTCATCATCCTTTCCGGTGGGCCCAACTCCGTCCATGCCAATGACGCTCCATCGTTTCCCGACGGTTTCCTGGAATATGCTGAGGAAAATGGAGTGCCTGTGCTCGGAATCTGCTATGGGATGCAGCTTCTCGTTCAGAAACTTGGAGGAAAGGTTGCCGATGGAGAGAAGCATGAATATGGCAAGATGGTGATTACTGTGGTCGAGGAGGAAAGCGAGTTTTTTGGCCCAGAGGCCTCTGGCGAGATTCAGACGGTGTGGATGAGCCATGGAGATGAGGCGCTGAGGTTGCCAGAGGGGTTCAAAGTAGTAGCCCGAAGTCTGCAGGGATCCGTGGCCGCGATTGAGAATCCATCGAAGAAGTTATATGGGCTGCAGTTCCACCCCGAGGTCACTCTTTAGATGCACATTGAATGTTTTTTCTTTGCTAATCTCCATGAATTTTGGTTTTCCTTTTTTCGTTTGTTAGGTTTTCTTAATAATAATTTAAGCCGTTGACAGGTTTTCAATAAACTGTGTATACAGAATTTCTCAGAGGGCAAATTTTTTACTAACTTTATTAGAGATACACTATTCATGTTAAACATCCAATGGCGCGATTATGAACATTGTAATTTTCATGTATTTGCTTGGGGATATATAAGAAGGTTGATTTTTTTCGATGCTTTGAATGGTCGAAAGGTGAGTAAGGGAGAAGAAAGTTTCACTCAATATCACTTGAAGTTTAAACATAAAGGAACCTTCTATCCATTGCTTCCATGTTTTATTTAATCCATCTATTATGTTAGAATGATGGAAATGTATTTGTTTTTTTTGGATGAAAAAGATTATTAAATTTTCAATAAACAGTCCATCTTTCAAGCTTTCTTTGATATCTTGTACACCACTTCATTAATGTTCTGCCTTTAAAAAAACTGTCTTTACATTACATCACTTAATTAGAAGAGCTCCAACTCAAGAAGGCATGTTTAACGTTATGGTCTAATTTTCTATGTAATGACCTTCCAAAATGTTGTGATGAATCACTTTGATACTTTGAGCAGCTATCTTTTTGAAATAATTTTCTTTTTGTTTACTTCATATGAGAATGTTCTGATTGGCTGTAAGGAAGATGCTGGATTGTTTTTTGAACCTTTTTGTTTACTTTATTGTTACCGTTCTGCTATGTAAAATTTTAAAATTTCAATGAGCACCAAAGGCACTGTTGTATAAAAGATAAATGTGTTGGTGGATATCTTTGAGCATCATCAATGAATGTCCTTTGTAGCTGTGACTTGGTCTTGAATATTGTTTGCTAGAGGTCTGCGCTTACCATATAATTTCAATCTCCTTTCTTTTTCTATGTTGAACATCATAGTTTACTAGCTGCTTTCACTTTATTTGCTTGTCCTCTTTGTTTATGTATGTTCTTTTGAATCCTTATATAGGTCACCCATTCACCCAAAGGAATGGAATCTTTGCGGCATTTTCTTATCGATGTCTGTGGGGTACCTGCTGACTGGAATATGGAGGATGTCCTTGAGGAACAAATCAAACACGTGAGGAGTATGGTAGGACCTGATGAACATGTGATTTGTGGATTATCAGGAGGAGTAGATTCAACTGTTGCGGCCGTGCTTGTTCACAAGGCTATTGGTGACCGGCTTCATTGTCTTTTTGTTGACAATGGTCTATTAAGGCAAGTCTTTATTTTTATGGAAGTGAAACCAAATCTTTTTATGCATGCTGATACACATTTTTTTTTAATGCTGACTAAATTGATATTTCTTTAGGTATCAGGAGAGGGAGCGGGTTATGTCAAGTTTTCGAAATGAGTTGCATTTGCCAGTTACTTGTATTGATGCATCGGAAAATTTTCTTGGTAAGCTTAAAGGTGTAAAAGATCCAGAAAGGAAAAGAAAAATCATTGGAGAAGAGTTCATACACGTTTTTGAAGGTTTTGCTCCAAAAGTTGGGGAGGAAGTGGGAAGAAATCCTTTATTCTTGGTTCAGGGAACTCTCTATCCAGATGTGATTGAGTCGTGCCCACCCCCTGGAAGTGGAAGGAATCACTCCCACACAATTAAGAGCCATCATAATGTTGGGGGACTTCCAGAGAGAATGAATTTGAAGCTGATTGAACCACTTAAGCTCCTTTTCAAAGATGAGGTTTTTTCTGCAATCTCAAAAAGTTTCCTGCATGAATGCTTGTGGTTCTTTTCACAGTATTTAAGCCTCGTTTGGTAGGCTGCAAGTTCTCCGTTTACGATTTCAATCGGTGAAAAACTTATTATTTTACTGTTTGTTTACGCAACTTTTTCAAAATAACTTTTGCTAAACCTCTATAATTTCGCCGATCTAAGAAGAAAAAAAAATTTGCTTCTCCGTTGTAATACCTCGGTTTAACAACGAAAAAAACATCGGGAACAACTAAACAAGGCCTTAGTTGTCAAATCAGAATTAATATTATATCTTCCTTAAAATTTGTTAAGCGTTTGTGACTTTTCTGTTTTTTTTTTTTTGCTTGATTGTTTCTTTCAAGGTTCGGCGATTAGGAAAATTTTTGAATGTCCCTGAATCATTCTTGAAGAGACATCCTTTCCCAGGACCTGGACTTGCTGTTCGGGTATTGGGTGATGTTACAGAAGGAAATGCCTTGAACATATTACGTGAGGTTTGTATGCCTACCTCTAAATTCTTTTCATATTATTAAGTTTGTTTATTTGTTATCTTGCTAATTGATACTTGCTCTAAATATGGTGCCAGGTAGATGAAATATTTATTCAGGCAATCAAAGATGCTGGCCTTTATGACTCGATCTGGCAAGCTTTTGCTGTTTTTTTGCCTGTCCGGACAGTTGGTGTTCAGGGCGACCAAAGAACACATGCCAACGCTGTTGTGCTTAGAGCAATTACAAGTGAGGATGGAATGACTGCAGACTGGTGAGTTGCATCATCTCTGGAGATGCTGATGCTATTTCTTTAAGCTATCATAACTTGCGTATCTTAAACATTAATGTCTTCCCAGTTGATGCCATCTATCATGTAGAGACTTGAGATAATGGACTTAGGCTTTGTTTGGGACGGCTTTTTACTGTTTTTTAAAGCAGCTTTTTAGTACAAAAGTTTTAATTTTTGTACTAGAAAGCAGCTTTAAGAAGCAATAAGAAATCCGTCTCAAACGAAGTCTTAGAGGAGAGGAAGACATTAGGTGGCAGGACGAGGTTTCTGATGATCAGTGTGACCTAGCGAGAATGTTTGTGTATGTGGGTATTGAGGGTCTGTTAGGAACCAATTTCACATAACTTGATGGACCAAGCAAAGAAATCTAAAACACTCAATACGAAGCTATTACAACTTTTCACCCCAAAACTCTGTTATACAAATACTCTTATGTATTGACTTGGTAGGACAGCGTTGGAACATTGTTCCACACTGTGAACTTGAATTAGATATTCTTTATATAAACGGGTGACTTCCATGCTTGCAAAAATGGCCAATATTACTTCACTAATAAACTTCTTCACTGGTTATGTTTGTTTCAAGTGTGTTTTGACTTTTGAGATTAATGCTTAAAAATCTTTTGAATTAGATGCCTATTTTCAAGTTATATTTTCCGGTATGCCTCAACCTTGAAGCAATCCAACACAAAATCTTCTTTAGATCACTAGACTACTCAACTTGAGCAAAAAAATCTAACTTATACAGACTTCATGTCCTCATGTGAGTCTCTCGCTTTTGGGACCGTCATTAGGAATGGTTTTATGTGTTTCGTGATGGTGAAGTCACTTTTGAATCTATCATTTACTCCAATATGATGGTGATCTAATTCCTTTGAATGCATGCTTGTAGAGGTCTCCTTTTGAGGTCTTTTGTCTTCAACTCTTTGATGTCTTCTGCTTTGTGTTCGCACTTCTTGAGCATCTTCTACAATCATTCTTGAACTTGCTCGAAGTTCTTAATGTATTAGGGAAGAGGTTATTCTTGTTCTATCTAAGAATGTGACTATGCGGAAGTTTCATATGGTGAGACATACTTTTGGCTTGAAGAGGAACTTGATCTTTATTGGATAGCAAAAAAAAGATGATTGCATATCGACCTTTTGTCCTGATACTAAGAAGGTCATCAAGACTCTTATGGTGATAGCACAAGTAATTAAAGATGACACATTGGATGTGGCTTTTAGTATTGGATTAATAAGACCAATTGCGTGCTCAGATATTGACTCACATATATGGTATCGATAGATGGGACACATTGGTGAGAAAGGGATAAGAATATTTCCAAATTACAAGATTCATGGTATTCCTTTGAAAATATTGCAGATAAAATATTGACAATACTGTTATTTCCATCAGAGATAAATACTAAGCTTTGTCAATGCCTATCGACTTAGTTTAGTCATAAAATACATCCATGAATCATTATTTTTGGAGTAAAAAACTGTAGATATCACTCGGTAAATCTAAATATTAGTGTCTTGCACCATTGGCATGAGCAAAGTATGTCAATTACATGTGCTTGCAAATATTCCATCCACGCTTAAAACTAAACGACATGCAACATTGAAGCCTTAAATAAAAACACTTAAAAGAGAAATAAGCATACATGAAACAATTTGAATTGTCAAGCTGAGTTAATAATTGCCCTTGGATTGTTCTTAGAATGATTCAAGGGACTGTCTTATATTGATGATAGCTTGCTAATGACACCCTCAAACAATAATATAAGTCAAATCAATGTCCTAGTTTTGCCTCTCAGCTGATATAATCAGCTTTGGCTTCAAATGAGGGTCAAATCATATGCGCTTATCCATGTCTTAAGTTGTTTCCCTTAGTCTCAAAATAAATAAAAATTAGAAGACATCACCTGTTTAACTTGTTTCAGACATATTACAAATTAGTATTGTAATCTCCAATGGATGCCTTAGCATTAAAATCATCCAAGGAGCCGCCATTATCTGCATCTTGTATGTTTATGATATCACCCACTTTTGTATTTTATATGTGCACGACATCACCTATATAAGTGGATAATGATGGATTAATTGACCTTGCATCATCCTCATTTGTATAATAATATGTAGTTTAAAATTTTATGGAGCAATAGACACACATGTGGGAATGAATATAAATATCTTCTTCAAGAAGAAAACAAGATTATAATATGTTATATCTCTCTTGGTGGAATTGATATTATGATTGTACTTTACCAAAGTAATACATCAACTCTAGTTTCCCGCTAAATAGGTTCATATCATTGTTTAAAAATTGTGCAACATGAGACCCGTCTCAGTATAATTTTGGTGAAAAATACTTGAGGCTTAGGCCTCTGAGCTTTTTCTCAAATCAAGGGCGAAAGTTGTCTTTCTTAGATTGTTGTTTCTTTGAAGTCATAATTATGATCATGTCTAGGAAAGAATATATCTATCATAGATAATTTGAGAAAGGGAAAGATATATTACATTAATACATCAATATTATGACATAATTAAAAAAATAAAAGCTATATAATAGTTTCCTTACTATTAGCTATTGATAATATTTGCAAAGATTTTTTATTATTTAAGTTTGAGGCATAATTTTTCATTCAACATCATCCAACTTGATTGTTGCCAACACATAATGGCCCTTCTAGAGAGGAGAGTTTGTTGCACTGGGTTCTTTTCACAGTCACTTCAAGATTGCGCAGCACCAAATACTCAATAGAGAAAGGTTGGGGTTTTATCCTTCTAATGTAATGGGGGTTTATTCTTTAGTGGTAGAAAACAATCTTGAGTTAGGCCACATATGGTATTATTGGGAGAAAATCCAAGTTATATTGGAGTTTATCCTCATTATAATTATGATAAAAAGTTTCAACGTTGAGGTTTGGAGCTCTGATGTCAATTAGGATGATGACCTTCGTGTCGAACCCGAGGTTATAAGGTGTTTGGCCTATGAGGGTTCGGTAGCTAGTGCGATAGACTCAGAGAACGCTAGGGAATTCCTTAGCTCATTGTCCTTCGGCTTTCTCATGATATTTTTATCCTTTATTTATAGTTCCATTTGTAAACTCAGTTTGCTTGTTTGCCTGAGTATGGGTCACAGTAGCGTGCAATAGCTGGATATGGAGAACTTTGCGTAATGATGTGAACATTTTTTTTCGTTAAACTAAGTCCCATTATGAGTAACGATCTTTGCATGAAGACCAGAGCAACATATTGTGCTCTTCCAAGCAAATTATTTGGCGTTTGCTTCCATAATTTATTTGTTCGGCTTCTACCCACTTTGTGACGTAATCAATGATCAAAATGATAAACTTTTTTTTATCCAGTAGCTGAAGGAAAGGGTCCCATAATGTTGACCCCCATTGGGCAAAAGTATAGCGATTTCAGAAAGAAGAAAGTTCTACTCAAGATGAATAGGTAAGGTTGGAATGGATCCTGCAATTGTTACACTTTTGTGTATACTTTCGTGCATCCTGCTTCAGTATGGTCCAATTTAATTTTTATCTCATTAAATCAAAGCTTGTTATAGGTTGAGCTTTTCTCATGATGGGTCGAGAGCCTTGTTCACCAACTGTGTTAACTAGTAAGGATCAACAAGTCAAAAAACAGTCAACAAAAGAAAGAAACACAGGATTCAAAACGGTAAATGAAATTAAAGAAAAAACAAGAATGCAAATGATTTCTGTTGTTCGGTTGGGGGCGTCCACATCCATGGGGAGAAAACAAGGCTATAGCTTTTATTTCTTATTCAAATTGAGATAACAGGTTAACAAACTATATTCCAATCTTTATCAATGGTTCATACCTTTATTCCATAAACTGTTCTAAAAGTCAAAGCTCACATATAAACAAAACTATGTATGAAAGAATCTAGTAGAAATTTCACCTAATTTTACTCTTGATTTCGCTTCAAGATTAAGGAAGTCTTGTCAATCTCCAAATCTAAATCCAAGATGAAGTCACTATTCTCCTCATCTAGTCTCGTTGAGATTTTTGCTGAATCGATCTTCACCAAGGCTCTATCGATCTTTCCTCCTTCCCCATGATCTGGTCGAAACCCTCTCAATGATTCTCGGCTCACTCTTTGCATGCTTTTAAATCGAAAGACCTAGTCTTGTCCTTCATCTGCTCAGCTCCTCTTGAAATCCCTAGCTCATAATGATCCACCTCCTGCTCAGTTTTTTTTTTTAATTTTTTTTTATTGCCTCCTGCTCAGTTATGTTGAAAGGTTTAAATAGAAAAAAATAAAATGGTGGCAGTCTCAATGGCTACAGAAAAGATGGTTGGTGATAAGAGAAAATAAATGAGGCTTCAAATATGCAATTGGAATAAACAATTAAGAAAATCTAAGACTCGATTCAAATTGCCATTATCTTGCTTACCTTTTATTTATGTTTTTTTTTGCTACTGCAATAACAGCTAACTGTGACTTGGACAAAGGATAAAGCAGTTGCCATTTAACAAAGCTTATAGGTTGTTTTTAACTTTTCCTTGCAACTACAGCTTAGATTGGACATGTCTTGTTAATGCTAGGGCGTCCCCTGGAAGTGACGCACTGTATGGCCTGAATACAGTGACAAGTGTGCAAGGGCCGCTGCACCGGCGCCCGGTTGCAGTGTTAAATAGGCAAGGGTTCCCACATCAAGGACGGATGTGGGAAAAGAAGCTAGTCCATGAAACTAAAATTAGGATAGGAACTTGGAATATAGGTTCCCTTACCGGAAAATTAATGGAATTAATAGACATTATGATTTATAGGAAGTTAAATATTTTGTGCATTCAGGAAATTAAATAGGTTGGAGAGAAGGCTAAGGAAATTGATAGTTTAGGATTTAAACTTTGGTATACGGGTAGGAGTCGTACTAGAAATGGTGTAGGTGTTATTATAGATAAGAGTTTAAAGGATAATGTTATAAAAATTAATATGATTGAAGATAAAATTATAGCTTTAAAGATTGTCGTTGATGATAAGATTGTT